TGTGTCGTGTGTGGGGTTTGCGCGTGTGTATTTATACCTCGGATATGTGATTCATACATGCGCTAACATCGAGACCTAGATGTGGGGATAATCCAAATATCCGTGTGCATAAGGGGAAAAGGGGAACCCAGCGTCGGAGGTGGAGTGACCGGGTTAAGGGGTGTGAATAAACACAATTGACAACAAGTGCAGGCAAGTGGCAGGCGAGTTTTTAAAGTGAAAACGGACCGCATGTGGAACCATATGGTTGAAAGAGCGTGTAGTCAATCTGCGGCTAAACCTAGAGTAGTTCTCTGGTACAGGAGATTATTAGGGTGGCGAAATAAGGCAAAATTGCCAGAGGTGGGGTAATTTTGGTCACTGAACTGGTCTGGCCTTCGCAACTCAAGGCAATAAACCGTAGCGCAATTTGGCCAGGGTTGGCAACTGCTTACAGGGACATCTGATCCAATGGAATACAAAGCTGCTGACTTTGAAGTTGTTTTTGATAAAGAGCACAAGAGATCTGATCATTTAACTGATTTCGAAACTATGTAAAAGTATGTTCGTTTTTCTTCTATAAATTTGATGGTTCTTTTGTAAATGTTTTGCGAAATCGGGACAATTTAGTTTCAAAATGAGTTAACTATGTTATTTTCACAATAAACCAGGTGGTTTATTATTAATGGTCATTAGTTAGGTAGGGAAATGTTCTTAAGTCATTACAACATATGAAGACCACAGAAGATGGAGGTTAAAAATTTCGTTTGGCAGCTAGGGCAGATGTCACTGGTAATTAGTGAACAATGATTGGTCTTTGGCTTGAGTAGATTTGAGTGAGTGAAAACGGTGTGGTAACGCCGGGTGTCTGGAGGTGAACTCTCAACCACGGGATTCAGCGGCCTTGTAGGAAATTAAGGCGGTGATTAAACACTGAGACTGGTCATATGTGAACCTTGGTAGTGGTCTTGACAAGTTCATGTGGTTAATTGTCTCCAGTGCTCACTCAAGCTATGTAGTGTCATGAGTGATTAATGAGCCTTCTAAATTCACTCCACTGTTCCCGAATCCCGTGCATTCGAATGTAAAATGATTTCGGTCAACACAAAACTTTTTTTAGGACCACTTTAAACATTTGTTGGCAGGACAGAGCAAACATTTGTACTTTGAGAGTCAGCAGAAAATTGCTGATTTTAAATACATAAGTGTTACGACCTTTTCTACTCATAAAAGACTGTACAGATGCAGAATCCTATTAACAATTTGATAACATTTCCGAATCACCAAATTTTTCGCGACTTTTCATTTGTTTTAACAACTAGCATGCGTTTGATTGGTGAAAAAATTATTGAAGACTGCTCAATTAAGTTTCATTTGTGTTTTGAACTAATAGCTCAATTTATATCAACATAACAATTATTTTAAGGTAAATGTGCCGATTCCAGGAGTCAATATGCAATATTTATTCAAGTGAACAAGCTAGAGGGAGTATTAATAAACGTTCTACCATAGCGAGAACAGTGGAACGCATTTACATTTTACGCCTGTCTTTGGGGTCAAAAATATTGGGCGTTGAGCTGCTGACTTAAAATTTTAAGGATTTCACATAAATGACATCATAAGGGACATACTTTTAAATTTGCAGAACCAAGACTATTTTATTTTTATTTCTGCTCCAAATTCTTTAAGTAATGAACTTAAAGCGTAGAATAACTGCGTTACAGTTGAACTTTTAATCCGTTTACAAAACGTCGTAAATATGAATAGAGGAGTAATGGTATTAATCGTGAGTGAGGCGTAAAAGCCCATTCAAAACATCTGGCGAGGTTATGCAGCGCTGTACAGGCCTACGTCCGAAGAGTGAACACGGTTAACTCGAAGTGATCAATCATTACTACAGAATCCAAGCCTGGAATGCTCTGCGGTGAAGTTTGTTTAAACCACGACCTTCACCTATCTCAGTAATATGGCAACCGATCAGCAACCGGATTTATGCCAGAATGCGCCCCTCGTATATGCTTTGGCAATGTTAGGTGAAATGGTGTGACTGTAGGGTAGTGTTATCTTTGAGATGTCGTTAAAAGTAAGACTCGTTGAACAGAGGAGCGTAAGTTGAACAGAGTGACAAATGGAGTTGTCCGAGCTAATGCCTGCTTCCCAGCAACGCTTTGATTCCGTGCTGTGTCTCCATGTTCCACATTTTTCCTTGAAGCTGACCTTCTACGTAATAACTTCGACAACACGGGCCCCACTTGGTCCCTCTCACCACCTCAAATGCACGATCTCCACAACTAGATTTCGTAATCCAACAAACGGTTTACTTTAAGTCGTCATTGAGATTCTCCTTCTCACCTCACTGCTTGATGTCTGAGCGGCTTGCAACAATATCAGTAAGTCAGCTGCCCTTAACAAAATTTATCAAGTCAGCGTGCAAACAGAATACGATAATGTTGGGGATCCACGATTCCCCAAGATTGGTTTCTGATTCTATTTACATTAATTTATTACCATTTGTTTTGTTATGCTTTTATCACGTCAAGTTCAAACCTGACTTGAATTAGTTTTCAAATTACTTTCGATTTCACTTCTTCTCTGCACGTGGCTCACGTGAATAAAGCTCTCAACTTGAGTTCTGGTCTTGTTCTTGTATTAGCCTGGGAAGGTCGGTTCTAGCTTTCAGCGAGGGATCTGGTACCGTTATTTGAGTGGCATTCTCCATTGTTACGGGCAAACGTAACAGATAAATTGCTAATTTTTGCGTTTATCCACGGTTTAAAATACTAGTTACAGCACATAGAGCCCCACCAAGGTAAATTGACATTGACAGGGGTCTTACTAGGCAATGTTTTTAACAATGACAGCGAATGGCAGCATGCAGCACACCATTGCACCAACACTGATCATACGCGAAGCTGGCATTCCTCAGTGGGTTTCGATTCCCAGTGTAAAGCCGCTTGCCTTGAGCCCCTGCCAGTTTTACATTTGAGTATCATCTTATTAACACAGAAAGTGTTTTACGGTATGAATCAAATATTGACACATGGTGGGTATGAATTAAAACAAATAGCGAATCAGAAATATCTGAAATTCTGTAAGCAATGGAAACGCAGACATAGGCTGGAGTGTCGGTGGCTGGTTTGCTACATGGATTATGCTAATTAAAACCAAAAACATGGGTTACAAAAGTTTCAAGACAGGCGGGTCGAAACTGTGCCCATGTTACAAGTCCTGTATGCAAATGCTGGAGCATTCTCATATTCGTTAAGTAGAAAGTTTGGCTTCTGGGTCGAATATCTGGAAATTTGGAACCGAGGCATTCATGCACCTAATGAATTGGAGTAAAGAGGTTCTAAAAAGAACTATTTTTTGAAACTTTCGTGTATTCTCAATGCATAAATCAAGGCGCAATTGATAAGTACCTCATTTGACCAAGTTATTATTCGGTATATCTGCTACAGTGAGGTGCTACCGCAACAACTTAGCTACAAGGAAGTTGTTGATGCGGTCGCAAACTCTCAGCCTTATGTTAAAAAGCCTAGATTTCTTCCGCAAGCAAATTTTGTTCGCGTTATTACAAAACTTGTTGGTTCTTTAGAATTGACCTGGGGTAATTTTTTTTCTTTCGAGTTATGCATGTGATTGCTGCGGTAGAAATAGTTTGTGTGCCGAGGTACATCTAAACGCAGCCTTAAATATATCGCTACATAAACTTGCTTAAAGACTGTCTTAGCAATGATCAACAGGAAAGTAGAAGTGGCCATGGCATTAGAGATCTAGAGAGATGGCCTGTGCTGTATTAAAGAACGATTAGGATTGCCGAGTTTTCTAGAGGAATTTGCGACCCGCAAGACTATCTTAAGATGCTCTAAAATTGGCTACTCGACGAGATTGTCATTCTCACTATACTAGGAGCTCACTGTTCGAGCATATCTTTAAAGTGAAATACCAAGAAGGTTGATCTGGCATGCTCTTAATGAAACTATTTGATTTCTTGACGTAAAGTTGGGTCGAGTGTTTGGGGGCCCGTCATTTCTTGGTTGTGTGAAAGGACTCTAGAGGAGGAATGCGTGGGATGCGATGAAGCACAACTGACGTGTACTTTTAAAATTTTTGATAAACCATTACGAGTGTAAGTCTTCATAATTTGCCTACGATAAAGCCTGTTAAGTTGTTATTCTCTTCTATACACATTCATTCATTTATAAAAATCCTCCTAAATGTTAAGGCTACTGTAAAAATGCCCAATTCGACTCAGTTGCATTAGTTCACTTCACCTTAACCCCTTTGTCTTTATTTCAAGGATTACTATCATAACGGAAATACCCTACCTTGTGAGCATCACCAAGGTTACGTACATAAAATGAGTTTTACACTGATGTAATTGGAAATGTTTAATTCATAAGCTGCTTATAATAATTCCCCCAAACTCTCGTCAACAAGATGTCTAGTCGGAATGGCCAGTGAGGTGACACCTTGACTAATGCAGATTGCTCACCGTAACAAATAAATTTTTGCTGGAAATTTAATGGTGTTCCTAAGGTTTACTGCATCCAAAGATGGATTTGATAAACTCCACTTAAATTTGTTCAAAATATGAGAGGATTGTGTGTTAAATGTGGGCTGAATTTACTTTTTACGGATCCTATTCCAAGGCCTTATTAAGAGCTGTAGAAAATAAATTGATTTATTGATTTCAGCACCATCTGGTAAGCACCGTGTGGCGCAAGATTCGGTAACTGAAGTGAGCAGAAGGCTTGAATGAAGGCTGACACACACAACCAGAGAGGAAACGCACGTGTGCAAGAGCGCACACACACACACACACACTGACACATGACAAGCGAACCCACGGCAGTTGTTTATTTGACGCACGCTCACCACCCACGGTTGCCACGGATTCGCCAGAAGCAGAGCGGTGATGCATCGGCACGGAGACAGTGCCACTGAGGGAGTGAGTGCAGTTTACTCCGTCGAGGGGCAGAATCAGTCCGAGCTACACACGGAGGCCTAAAATCGCCACCATGTCGTCTGGTAACAAGCCTGAAGAAGGCAAAAGGCACCGCAAACTGTCACTGTCAAATGAGAAGCAAAAGTTAAAGAACACGTTTAAGAAGGACGTCATTAAGACGGCTGTGCTGCACAAACGCTCCCAGCAATCTCCGCCTGCCAGAGTACACAAACCCGCGATCACCGACCCCGGGCAGGATCCTGCTGGTGGCGATGCTCAAGTAAGTCCAGCCTCTCGGCGTTGCTGTATTGACCTCTTTGCTCATGTTTTGCCTTTGAAATGAAAAATGATAGCAGTGCGATTGAAAAATCCACCACAAGGTCGTCCCTAGCAGTTAGTAGTTAAGATCTCTTCTTGGGCATTTCGACAACAGCCCACTTAGTGTAAATGGAGGAGCGAATTGGGACACATGTATCTCGTTTCACGGAATGTGGCCTGAAACAAATTCGTAATGATCATGTATCAGCTTTTTCACTACAATGAGTATCTTGTCTATTGACTTTTGTTTAGGTAACTTGCATCACGATAATCCAAAAATAGTACTTAAAAGGAATACAAGATAACCTGGGCGTCATCTGTAATTTAATCTCTAAGAAATTCAACCAGGTTAATTAGCAATAATAGACTTTTTACTCAAAGTCATGTAGATTTAGTTGTTAATTGTATCTGCCTGACTGGTGAGAACCTACCTGCAGTGTCTAAATTCTGTTAACTTTAAAGGAGTAAGTAGACTTTCAATTAAAGCACTTTAAGCGCGGTACAGAATAACTAGTTTGAAATGTCTAACTGAAGACAATTCTAACTAGGTAAGTAAGGCTTCTGACCAGTGGTATTTAGTGAAGGAAGGAAGGAATTTAGTGATATAAAATTACCCAGTCAGCATGCACTATTCTTTACGTTCCTTTTCATTATTTGACAAAATGAATTTGCTACTGGCTTGAACATAAAAAAACAATACCCGATAAGATTAATCATCAAAAACATTGAAAAGAAATTGCTTATTACAGCTAAACCAACGTGGAATATTAAGTGTCGTGCTGACAACGCTAAAATGGTTAGCATTTCTCCGTGGTGAGTTCTCCTTGACTCACAGGTATATTTAAATAGGATCGCCCCATGCTTTTATCAATCCAATTAGCTGCGTGCTCTGTTAACGAGCTTCGAGCTCGCCTTAAGCCAAGCCAAATGGGTCTCATTAGCACACCCAATGGGGCATTTACGTGGTCTTGAGCACAGTGGAATCGCCAACTGTGTAATTATGCGAAAATTCTGCAAACGTTCATTAACAGCGCTGACTCGACCGGCTGTAGTGGTTGCTTCTCTGACAGACAAAGGCAGTTTAGGCTGTGTCAGCATGTCTTTAATTTCTTGCCAAAGAAGGCCATGCTAGAGACAGTGGCGATTTTTTTCTAATTTGGCATTAAAAAAAATCAACACACAGTATTGAAATTAACATTCTTTGGGGCTGTGGTTAAAGTAAAATGACCAAAAGAATTACTAAGATCGTAGCTGCCTTTGGTTTCTGCCAGTCAAATGTCACCCGTTTTGATAAAATCGGAATAAAAGGGTATTCTCCATCTTAGCTACTAGAAAAGCCTACTTTTTCTGACGGTTTTTGCTTCCTACACACGATACTCCCTGTTTATGACTGTAACACGCGGCACTTGTCACTTGCACTTTAGATTTTGTTATGTTGGTTGCAGCAAAAGTACACATAAAACACTAAAAACGCAAATGCTTCGCCTTGAAGGGAGCTTGTCATTTCAAGTTATCTCAAAGCATTATGCGTTATAAACTTTAACGTATGTGCTAGACCCCTTTAGTGTCAGGTTTCTGACACTTGACACTTTGACATTGGGGTAAAGGTAAATAACATCAAAATTTAGTTTGAAAGACGTAAGAATGAGCATAGCGGTGCAGTTTTTAAGTAGATCTAGGCCTTTCATAGCTTGAGTTTGTTTCCTCACATAACCACACAGTAATCAATGAGATTGCCGTTTTAAAAGTAGCATTTAGTTGTACTATAAATTGCTGCTTAACCAGAGATCTCGTTTAGGATTACAAAATGACCGTTTACCCTTCTACGCGCTGAGTTCGACAAGGGTAAAGTAGTCAAGACGTGAGGATTCGGTTTGACGCGTCAGCGCCACAGCAAGATAAGCGAACGACTAATTCTAAGTAATTAAACCGTCGATCCTGCCTTCCTGGTAGGATGTGATGTCCGTCGTGTGTCCCACGGAAAAAAGCACGGTTTTTCTTATAATTCACAACTTATATTGTCGACAAGACCATTTACCGGCCTACGTGTGGCATGCACTTGGCAAGTATCGATTTTTTTGACTGCCTACGCCTTTTTAATGGAAATTAAGACAAATTTAGGAAACGCGTTGGATTCTACCTAAGGTAAATTCTGAATACCATTACTTGTAGCACAGACCTTCTGTGAATATTGTAGGCAAAAAATACTAAATCCTGTAGAATTTCTGCAATTGCTGAAGAAAATGGGCAGATTTGGTCTATTTACAACCTCTCTGAGCTTGAGTTTGTCCTTCTTTCTGACTCTGCACTTAGCCTAACAGCCAAGCAAATCAATTCATTCATGGAGTTCTTGCAAGATAAACTGGTATTCCAGTCGATTTGATTTTGAGGTTGCTTGATAGAACACTTTAACCTGACCCCACTGTGATAATCTGGTTACCCATGGTTTGTTTTGTTGTTACGCTCTAACAAACGCGTTGATTTTGTGGTCGTGAAGTCGAGGGGTGAAATTAAGCTCTTATTGATTTTACAAAACCTAGGTTTTCCTAGATTTCATAATAATTTTTGTGGCGAAAGCTGGAGAAGTCGAATTACCATTTAAAAGTCTCCTTTTTATATTTTAACACCACGTGCAGAGTAAATTAAGGACTGCGAGTGCTTATAATTACGCTATTTAAATCTTAAGGTGGAAAACCAAGTACTTCCCCAAATTCTAGCTCCACATTTTTCCCTTCTGTTGAAATAAACTAGTTTTATGCAGTGCAGAATCAGGACCATTTTAGAATATTTGCTCCCTGTTATGAATTTAGCTTTTAATCCATCCGACCTCATCAGTCAGGAAAAAATGGGAGGCATTTTGAGGCGAAGCACACGCAACCTAACTGAAAACAAACTGCCTACTAGGGCATTAGCGAGTAATTAATGCACGCATTTATCTCCAAAAAGGCTCAGTTTAAACAATTTTTGACTGCGTGATTATGACCACGTCGCAAATGTTACTCGCATTCTTGCGGTTGTAAATTGATTGACTTGAAGCGTGAACGAAAATTGACCTTTCTTCAGTAGTATGACCACATTGCAAAGGGATACTGGCGGTCCACACATGATGACCAGCATCTGGTTAGCTTTAACGTCTCAGATCGGACACGCTTGGGCTTAGACTAGGGAAGCCAAAAATTCACAGTGACAGCAAACAGGGTCGATGTCGGGTGTAAGTTAAAAACGGCTTCCTTGTTTCGGTGTTGGCAATCTGCACATGAAGTTTTAGTTGCCAGTTTGCAGGTTCGATGTTGAGTTTCGGGTTACATCATTTTGAAGCTAGGCGGTACCCAGAATTGACCTACACAACATAAAGTATTCACAGCTGAAAAGTTTTAGTTATCCATGGAAAAAACGACATAACAGAGGGCTTTGACATTATGCACAGGACATCTATGTTTAATCTCAATTTAAGTTTGGGTAGGTTACCTTGAAGCATTTCCCTTTCTCCCATTGGCTTGATGATTAGGACAGGTTTCCTCATTTTCTATCCTCATCATGTCGCAAACTGATTTTTCATTGGCTAAGCACGTGCAATGATGCCCACCGTTTGCAATTTGACCCGCGCACGTACGACATTCGACTGTTCCTGTACGGTCACGTGATTCAGGACTGTCGTCTGCAGTATTATCTTGAGACATTTAGTACAATTCTTTTCGTCACACGAAATGACCCTCGGCCACGTTTGGTTCTAGGCACGTGACTCAATAAACGGATGTACCTTTCTACGCTTCCTTGTACCTAACTGACGCGTTTTTGACATACTCCTACATGAGTTACACAAGATGACATGTTCAGACTGTGAAAGCAGCTTTGAAAAGCATTACTGTAGCGTGCTTGATCAATTACACCAAACTACTGATGGGTAATGACCAGACATTCTGTGAAGCAAGTAAATTCACATGCAAAGCAACAGTAGCTGACCTGCACAAACGCGAACTCCCATTTTCACGGACTTTGTAAAGCTCACGAGACCAGTGTGAAGCGATGGTCAAGGAGCTTGTGTGACCTTCCACGCACACACTAAGCTTTAAGATTGTTGTGCCCTTTAAAGGCAGTTAAGAAACACACGAACTAATGCTTCACGTAAAGCCCTTTACACCCCTGACTGTTGTGAACACTAAAATCTGTCAAAAATTCATTTAAGCAGATCGATTCAGTCGAAAGAAGAAGGCATAAATACCAAGGCAATTCTATCGGTCAACGGAGAGGCATGTTAGTTACCGCGCACAGCCAACCTGCGAAAAAATGTGAAAGAGAAATTTGGCACCTAGCTGTCAATCACTCGTGTTTTGTGATTCAATGCGGCTTCAAGGGTAGTGGGCTACGCTCTTCGAATTCCACAGGCGAATGTCACTCAGCGAAAAAGCGCGACAAGAGGTCTCTCTAGGGTCTGAGTGCCAATTCGCAAATGCTTACTCACACTTCAGGTGCAACTCTGGCTATTGCACTGGTTACCTACCCACGTTTTGATACGCCACAGCTGAGTTGGCGCACGCGCGTTAAATGCAGTTCAGCAACTAGCCAATGGATGACTCAGAAATGCTCAAGGTCAGTGGTTGTGCAGAGGCAACTGCACAGGCACACGAAGACCGTTTAAACAACTCCAAACGAGAATTAAGATGAAAAATCTGACGCACTCGAACGTATGGAGGGTACTGACAGCATGCATCCCCTGTACTCGCCGGAAATATCAACCCGATTCTCGGACTGCTAATGAGAAGAAACCTTTCAAAAAACAAGACAAATTCCAGAATACGGTAATGGTTCACGGAGTATTGAATAACCAAGTTGCTTGTATGCCATCATAGAGACCTCTATTTAAGCCTATAGTTTCCGCATCAAGGACTTCGTGGCTGTATTTGTTCCTTTGATTAGGGGATCTTAGAATCGAAAATTTAGTTAAACGGGTGTTTGGCGTACTTGTTGCTGGCAATTATTACTTCCTTTATTTTTCTTATAGGCAGTGAAGAACCCAGATGAGGATTGTGACATGGTCACGGCCTTGGATGAAGACAATTGTAAGTAGTTTTGGTATACAGACTGAAGAAATTGGCATTTACATGAACCTATGCAGTAATGTGACCTTTGGTGATATGTATCCATCAAAACCTAGTGAGGCAAGCCCTTCTAAAAATAATTTTTTCGTAGTAGATCAGTGAAACCCCCATCAAGACTTTGTGCTCAAGACATAATGGCTTTCAATTCGGTTTTAATTACCCTTGCTTTTCAAATACATCTCTTTGTCTGGTACTAAAGTAATTGGTAAACCCAAAGACCTCAATGATTGGGACAGAGTTACCAAAACGGCACTATTTGCGTCATATCCACTGCTTCGCGGTAGATACAAGCATATTTTCCTCGCGTAACCCGCGTTTTGCAAGAACATTTTAAGCCCCTTTGACTTTACAGTCATTAATTATCGTGCTTCCCATGGACTCGTGTATTCTTACAAGGCGAAATAAATATATGCTTCTTCGTTTCAATCCCCTATTTTGTAATTCTTCCACTCCAAAAATCAAGGCTTCACATTTCGGTCTATTCCTAAACCCGGACAATTTTCCTAGACGATAACATGCTATTCAAAGTGTATCATGAATAGCAAACCGTGCAAAACTAGAGCCATTTGGTCTAGTTGGAAATGGATGGTTTTGACTTCCTTAGTCCGAAGCTTGAGTTCAGATTTTAAAGAGCAGTACCCACTGGGCAAGGGGATTCTCGCTAAATTTTAATTTTAAAAACGTTTCATTCTGCATTGTTAATTGAAACAGTCAAGAGGCTTTTGAACGCCAATAAACCTCTCAATAGCATTCTGTTCTGCTACAAAATGGAAAGTTAATCAGTGACCAAACAATGAGTGGAGGTGCGATGTGGGTTAGACTAAAATAAACTTTAAAATGTCACCACGAAGAACACAAGCACTTGAGTTCTGGTTGTCGCCCTGTAATTCTCTCTGCCCACCTTTTTAGTGACGAAACTTCAGTTCCAGTTTCTCGAAGCGGCAAGAACCAACCGCTGCGATGTCTTGGAGGTGATTCTGGGGCAACGCGCTTGCCGAGTGGACATTCGAAACAATCTAGACCGAACGGCCCTCCACTTGGCCGCTGCGCAGGGCTGCTTCGAGGCCGTCCAGTTGCTGGTGGCCGCGAAGGCCCCCGTCGACACTCCTGACAAGGTGCGGACACGTGCTACTCCCTGTGCCTTTTAAGTAACTTTGCAACCCTCCGTAAGTCCAGATTTGGACAGCCACGCGGGTATGTGTGTACCGTCACCAATGCACACCTGCACCTCCAGTCTGGATTTAGACCCTTTATTTGGCACTTTTTGCCCACCGCAATGGAGAAGGCTTGAATGAGAGTAAATTAAATTATATTTAATTATGAATAATTCGATAGATCACACCCTTTGCTAGTTGGAATTTAATCGGTCCATCGCTTGTTGAAAATGTTAAGCGTCCATCTTGGCCATAAACTACGAGGTCGGCAAGGCCAATAGCATTGCTAATACATTCGACTAACCATAATTTTGGATTGAGGTAAACTCGGGCGTTTAACTGCCCGGTTTTTTAGGCTAAAGTAATTCGACTCTGAATGAATCTTAATTATTACCATTACCTCAATTAATCTACCGCATTTTTTTTCAGAAACTTGGTTGTACCTTCTAAGACTTGTTTTATTCGTTCATTGTGGTGCCGTTAGAGATCGGTTTGCATTTCAGATTTATGTGCAACCAAAATGTATCGAGTTTGACAGATGCTTTCAGAAATGTTAAATCCAACTTAATCTATTTTAATTACTTAATTGGCCCTTACAGCTCAAGCCCGTAGCTACCTGCTCGGTTGTAGAAGATGATGTTTAATAGTTACGGTGGGTTCGACATTATCAAAATTCTCAATATTCTTTCTGCCGATTATGGAAATCGTTAGACACGGAGCACTTGGTCATTAAACTAACCACAGTATTTTCGCAGGCATCAACAATGCTGCATTAAACTTGCCGAGGTTTTATCAATGCCAAGCAATTGCATTTGACGGTTGAGAGGAGTTGACCAGTTTTAGCGCGTTGTCACGCACTTGCCTAGTTGTTGTTGTTGTTGTTTGTACTCTAGCACGGAATGACTCCAATGTTCTGGGCCGCGCACAACGACCACGTGGAGATTGTGGTTTTTCTCATCGGAAACGGCGCAAATGTGAATCGCAAAACTAAAGTACGTTATTCATTAAAAAGGGAATTTGTCGTAATTTTATCTCTTAGATCAAGTCAAAGTAACATTCTGGCAAGTGGGGTGTTTTGTCACGAAAATGGTCTATAGGTTTTGCATTAAAGTTGGACATTTTCTGTCCAGCAACCGTTTTGAATGAGACGGTTTTATTGTGGGCCACAGCATGTGGTCTTGAACCACGCCGGGGCCACGGAATCAACCCTGGCCCGATTACGTTACCCTGCTACCCGCGATAAAAAGAAAAAGACCGGAAAGGACGTGGACACAACCGTTTACTCCAGACCTCAACCACGTTGGTGTCGTTGTGTAGTGAGTGGCATTTGCGCGTGTGTATTTATACCTCGGATGTGTGAGTCATAGATGAGCTAACATCGAGACCTGGGTGTGGGGATAATCCTAGATAAGTATCCGTGTGAATGAGGGGGAAGTTGCGGACCCTCGCGGCTGTAGGTGGTGGAGCGACCGGATTATGGGGTGTGAATAAACACGATTCACGACAGTTTGCTTAAATTCTTCCAACGCTTGCACCTAGTCTGAACAGCAACAAAGGGGTGTCCATACCAAGCACAAGGCATTTGTATTTATGTATTGAAATTGAAGAAACATTCTGCCACTCAATGTGATTGTGTTTCCTCAAGCGTGGCTTCACCCTTCTTCACATTCTCGCAAAGGCAGATGCCTTGAAGACGTTGGAGGCCCTCGTTCGCAACAAGATCATCCACAACTTTCTGGATGTCGATCTGGTAAGCTGCCGACTTCGTTCACCAGGTCCATCTACAATTATTGCCATGGTTTCCTTTGATTCTCCCTTGCAATATCTTAGATAAAGATGTCATTAGGTGTTTTCAGTTCAATTGTTTCACATGAGAAGCTCTTGGGAAGTAGTCCGCACGCTTTACGCCAGGTCTCTCTCTCTCTCTCTTCGCAGAATGACTACACGCCTCTGATGGTTGCGACTGTGTCTGGAAGCCTTCGGGCCACGACTGTTTTATCGCGCATTGGATCGCTTGAGTCGCATGTTGACAAGGTGAGTAAACAGTCCCTGGCATGGCCTTATTATGAATGTTTTAAATCAAAAATTCCTGACTTTATCGATTTTAAAAATCCCACAGCATGCGTAAATCTACTAGGAAGCTGCTAGTCTTTGAGACTGATCCAATCCCAAAGCAGGCTTCTTTAAAATTAACGTGCTTGGTTTAACAGTGACTGGTCTCAAATTCGTTCTCTCGGTTTTACAAATCCTTCTTTTGAGACCAACTGATTTTGTAAATTGCAAGATAATGCAAGTTTGAAAAAAAAAGATTTTCAGGGTCGGTTCAGATAACATGAAAGGAGAAGAGAAATTTGTAACAATAACAAAGAAAATCGGGTTCTGATTGATTTTATTGAACCATACCAGAGAGAGAAAGAGCGTTTAACTTACAGATCATAAGCCAAAATCTCTTAACGGCAAGATTTTTAATTTTCTTTTTAACAGAATAAGAAGAATCTCTTCCATCTAGCAGTTCTTGGCGGATGTCCATTCATCCTTGAACAACTGTGCAAACACGAGGATGCCCCAAAGCTCATAAATGCCTTCGTAAGTAGTTGTAGTAGTGGTAGTACCCATTGCTGGTCGAGGCCATTTGATAGGCTTGCTAGTGAGACTCATTTCAAGGTCACTAATGCAGTATTGTGATTGGTTACTGCTCTGCCAAACAAATTACTCATAAACATGGGGCTGAAATGTCAAAAAATTGGATGCGAATCATCATTTGAGTCACCAGTAGGATTACTTGAGTGGGACGCAATAATTCAGGCAGGTGCTTCTGATTGGTTTGTTTTATTCTTCACTTCATCAGGACGATGATCTGAAGGCTCCGATTCACTACGCAATTGAGCTTGACGACTACGATTGCATGTCGGTCCTTTTGAAATATGGCGCACGGGTTAACATTAAATCGAAGGTGAGATAAAATACATAGTTATTTGGTGTTTGAGAAGGGAAAAAGAAAATATGGGTTTAATTTATTGCCTGTTTCATTTAGACTGCTCCCTACCCCATCATAACTGCTGCCCAGAGAGGAACCGTCGACATGCTTAACCTGCTTATCGTCAACAAGGCGAAAATATCCAAGAAGAATTTTGTAAGTCAGCCATGCATAACTCTGAGTCGCGGTCAACACGACGAAGTCGAGGTTGTTGGACAAAGTGTGAAGGTTTTTCGTTTGTGTTTTGAACGCAGGCAGGCAACACGCCCTTGCATGTCAGCGCGATGGCCAATCAGGTCGAAGCGGTGCGGTTCCTGCTTCGGAAAGGCGCCAGCATCTGCGCTCTTAATCGGGTGAGTTAAACAACAGCTACGGTTTAATATTAGAAAAAACAAGTCAGGTTTTTGCCATTTTTTACCTGCAATCTGAAGGTATTGGATCGTCTCACGTGCTTGTAGATTGCAGGAGCAGGCGCCACAATAACTGTCCTGATGATTCTTTGGTGATCAAACTACTAAATGGCATTAAGTTGAATGCGAGGTAACTTTTCGGTAAATTAGTAAATACGCGTTTAAAAAGTTAGGTATCAAGGAAATAAAACAGTCAATTTCAACATTGAGGATTCAATCCAAACGATAAGCGTTATTACCATTGACTTTGTTCATGATTTATTCAATTATAATCAGTACATCGTTTCTAACTTCTAACAAATTAACTCCACTTTGCCATTTGCATCAACTTGGGTGCATTTTGAAAACCGATGTGTGCGATCCACAGGGAGTAGACTAAATCGTGTTTTCATAGCCGTCTCTCTGCTTGCTTAAAAACCAAACCTTTCTTCTACCGTTGCTAAATTTGTGATTTGAAAATCGGTTCGACAGAGCACTCTCTTTAAGCAGTTACTTTTAAGACGCGCAGACTGGTTAACCTGAAGATATTACATCATGGCCTGATTGCATTATCAAACCAGAAATACTGGATTTCGGTTTAAACCGCATTTTCCACTTAGCGCTAACTTGTGACAAATACTTATTGACGCACTTTTTCACCATTGCAGAGACTTCAGACGCCCTTTAACGCCGCAGTGGAGCAGGGAAGCGCTGAGGTTGTCGAGTTGCTTATTCTTGCTGGAGCTGACATGAATATGGTTGATCGAGTATGTCATATTCTTTTTTTTTCGGCCCCACTTGCCTGTTCTCTGTTGACATCTAGCGTTCTCCCTGGTTGGCAGGAGACAACGCACTAGTAGCTATGAGAAATTACGTGGCAATTTTGTGTACCTTACCGGCTCCATAGGCGTGATCCCGTGTAATTTTGTAGTGATCATTTAGAGTCATATCTTATACTACTTATTTGGTGATTAAAGTTGACTGGAGTTATTATTTGCATGCTTTTACTTCGTATGGATTTAAGATTGGTCAGTTGACTGACGTACTTACCTGAACTTTGTTGTAGGCTGCAAAGAAGCCCCTGCATTTGGCTGCTCTGAGTGGATTTGTGCGAATTGTCGACATGATTATTAAGGCCGAAAGGTGGAGAGAAAAGTATCCGGTAAAGTAAAAAATGTCGAATAAACGAACTTTTGACTGGATTTTAGCAAAACTGGTAACAATTTTTATGCTTTAAAACACCGTTAGGAAGCAGCAGCAGATATGGCAAAGAAGTACTATCCAGGTGGAGGACGTGGAGGAGGAAATGCAGGCGATGTAAGTGATGATGAAGGAACCAGCTATGCCTCTCAGGCACTGCCACAAACTCAAGAGGACGTGGCGGCAAACGAGGAATCACCTTCGATCTCCCAGGCGCCAACGTGCCACTCCGATGACGACGTCTCCATTTCACAAGCGTCAACTTATCGAAGCACGGAAAGTGGAAGTGACGATCGTGATGCTGAAGCGAATGAGGAATACCACGCGCGCGAATCCACCGCCTCTCCGCCACCTTCGCCAAGACAATACCGGCGGGCGGAATCCACTTTTTCCAACGCGTCAGCAGGCAGCACCGCACGGGCTCGACTGATTGAGCGTTTGAAGCAACAGAGGGCCAGGCAGGTACCCGCTTCGGTGACTGGAGCCCCAGTTACTAGACAAGAGGAGGAATCACCTGTGTTGAATATTCAATCACCAAAGTGAGTAATCCACAATGACCTTCTTCTGTTCGAACCAAGATTCCTTTTTTCTACTACGCTTTGCCTTTCCTCATAAAATTATTGTCACCGACTGTTAAGACGCCTAGCAGGAAAAAAGGAACACTGATCACTTATATAACCAGTAATATTTTAGTGATGCAACACAAACGTTGGTAGGCATTGTCTATCTCTTGCTTCTCCCTTGAATTCGCTAACTGACAAGTTTAATTTGTTGTTTCATGAAATTAGTGATGGTAGGCAAGCTGAATTTTGCCGCAATCACCAGTTCTGATTCACAAGGCTGCCACGTGTGCTAGTAGCCATAGCCACACACCCAAAAATATGTACGCACACAGCATTTATAGCTCAAGCCACCAAATTCTCGGACAAGGCATCGTATGGGACGCTTCAAGTGCCTCAGTCCAGCCACTTCTGTTTACAAAAGATGAATTAGAGGTGATCGGACAATTAAAAAATCCTTAATCCACAATATAACATTCATAAATATTCAGATCAATCATTATTAAACCAAGTGTGCATGAGACAAAATCGCATAGAGTACAATGAGATTAGGTCCCCGAAACGTCAACAACGTCCCTTAAAGCGTACGAATCTTAAAAACATTCGCGTAACGCACGAGTCTATACACAAATCTGCCGTTATTGCGGCAAGTTGTTGAATTGACCTTGAATGGAGTTAGTAGAATAGGGGCGGTTCTTAGAAGATCCAAGTAGTGTGCATGGCAACCAACAGTTAAGACAGCCAAACTGCCAATTTCGCAAATGTGGAGAGTCTGAGGGTGGCTTCCATTCTGACAGAAGCACAACATATCACGCATAAATTTATTTTATCTCCAACCTAACTCTGTCTAAACACTACTCATTATTGGTACAAGGGGTACGGGAGGAAAAACCTCATTATGCGTCAACAAGTAGGCTCTCCTTGATGCCAAGTTTGTGCGATGGACAAGCGTGGATGGTGTGCACACGGGGCTAGCCTTTGTATCGCTCACATCTGTGCGCCCAATGCTTATTTAGGGATGTAACACTGAAACCACAGCCAACATTTTCGTTTAGTTGCCAACGCCATCGCGGGTAAAAATCAACGAATAGAAGTGGAATTATAGTCGAGTAATTATTAGCCTGTCCGAATAGGTATACGCCATGCCACCTGGAGTTTGTCGCCGTTACTGTCACTTTAAATACTCCCACGGGCACTCCACAACGATAATTACGGCCTAGAGCCTAATTAGTCGGTTGTGTTTACGTGGTTATTCCTCACTCTCATCACCTTCATCAATCTTTGGTTCCGTAGGTTTTAATCATTAACAGGAATGTAGTTAGTCAGGCGGTTGTGATTCGTTATGCATCGACTTGGTAGCTAGTGAGCTGGTCCCCTGGTTGCACCAAATTACAACGAAGACTCCTTTTCGGCATGACTTGTACCTGTGGTGTTGGCGTTGGTGTATTCAGGGAACCGTTGTTTACTGCGGGGATGAGCTGTGTGGACTCAGGGATACCGATCGATTTCACTTAAGTCTGTTCAATGTAGCCCTCGGCAGATCTTACTTGATAGCCAAATGCTCAGAAGGCCGCGATTAAAGGCTTTCATCGGCTAATGATGTAAGCGCATTCGACTCTTTGGGGTGAGAGTTGTGTTTTTCTGGCCCCTCGGTTGCCTCCATTTTTTCCTAAAAGAAAAGTACATTGAGAAATGTTCAAAAGAGGCACAGATCTTTCGCGTAAAATAAATTCAGTTCAGTTCTGCTGTGGTATTTTCCTCATCCCATAACTAAACACACCAAATAGTTTTGGTTAGTAGATCACACATCCTTCTTTATCAATCTCATTTTTGTAAGCTGTGATTTACACATTATGTCTAATTTCCTTTTTTTGCTTAATTAGAGAATTAGTTTGTAGCAGAAACCGAGTTAAGGAAGGAGTCTTGAGGATTTCACCTTAACCCCGCTTGTTTTTTTTTCATTTTTATATGAAAACTAAGAAGAATGAGTGCGCCCCCCGCCGTTTGAGGAAATTCATTTTACGCTGTATAGTCACGATGGAATCGCTGATCACGCCTTGTGCAGATTGTTAGTCAAATTCTCGATTCGAGCAAGAGTTCTTCGTGTTTGATTGTTTTTTTTTGGAGTTTTCGATGTTGTGCAATGTGCTAGCGGCCTTGGCAAGAGATAAGCACACTACTTGCATGGTCTCAAAAATGATAGTAACAATGATGCGGCATTATTCTAGGTCGGTGCCACCGATGCCGTTGAATGGAGGTGCCACGCGACCACCGGTCCCATCTCGAAGACCAAAAAATGCCTCGGACGCCAACGGCAACTTGGGAGATGTTCCTGAGCTACCCGCGCGGCACACAGCTGGCTCCCCAACGACCTATTCCAGCTCCTTCCATCCAGAGTATCGATTTTTGGTGTTCACTCAGGTACCAATTCACGAGCCACTGAAGCACCTTTTTTTAAATACATGTAAATATATGCTTGTGCTTGCCCACTAAAGAACCCTGAAGGCACCAATAACCCTTGTTACAAATGCTTACTAGAACAAGGTATTCTTTTTTGCCTCCCCCTAGTCTTACGCCGGATACTTTCAGACTCTCTTCTTCTACATCGCGCACCACAAATTAAGACGTGACGAATGGAAGGCCCTTGCCAGACACTGGGATTTTTCCGAGGAGCATGTCGAGGCCATAGAGCTTCAACACACCGGTGAGAGCTTTGTTAACCTTATACGAACCCATCACCCTACTGACTTCAAATCAGTAATAAGGTTCGATAACTTCGTGTTCTTAATAATGTAGGTGACCGCCGGGCATACAAGGAGCACGGCTATCGCCTGCTGTGTATTTGGCTGCACGGCTTAAGAGAGGACGAGGAGCCCGGTCCGCTTCTCTACACGGCTCTCATTGCGATTGGTCGACGGGAACAGGCGAACAGTGTTCAGAAGTACCTCTACGAGGCCACCCATGGCCGCAGGACTCCAGCAGATCAATGCCATATTTCTTGAGTAAATTATACCTTGAACAGACTGTACATATATACTAGCTACATGAAGGGCGGCTCCTTTGATTGATGAAGAAATATAAAATTTTACCCACCCTCACTTCACTCACAAACCCCTTGTGTACTGGTTTGCTTTAAGTTAAGGTCGTCCATGCCAGACAACCATACTAACGCGATATCACATGCAATTTTGCAGCAGTGATTTACATCAGGTGATGAAAACCAAGACAGATTTTTCCCGTAATCATTGAGTAGATTTTTATACCAATCGGCGCAGACACCATATACCATTACTGCGCTTGGCCCGCACTCGTCTTTTCCGAAGTATTCGACCTGCCGAAGTTAGCCAACGGTTCTGCTATGAGTCTAATCGATGCTGGAAGTTGGCGCTGGCGGTTGATAGTTGCACGAATTTCCATCATAAATCCGAACCACTAAAAGCTGTTGAATTATTCCCGTAAATGTTATCGACGCGAATCAATTAGTAAGCGTATAGTATTTGGAGATTTTTAGGCCTGTGGTAGACTAGTCGTCGGACCTCCCAGTTTACTAGAGCATCGGCCAACTAAAATGGAGAACACAATTAGCAGAGTGGCGAAACCAGTGTAAGAGCCACGTTAGGTTAGTGAACAGCAGAAAACTTGCCCAAGTAGTCTGTGATATGACGGCTATTCAACCACACTTTGACATTAAAAGGCTTCTTTATCAAACAACACATAATATAAACAGAATCGCTTGTAAGGCTAAGGTACAATAAGTAAGCATAAGTAGTAATTTTTGTCCACGTCTAGACTTGTCGATGTGTAAACGGGAGGAAGCATCTGACACAGTATCGCCTTAATTCTTGGTGTAGACTATGACACTTGACAATTGCAGGTCGTTATTCAAATGTTGTGACTGTCACATGAACAAGATCGTAATTCTGTCGTTTAGTGTAGGTCAGTGGTTCCTAGTTAGTGCGGACAGATTGGACTAAAAATCGTGTTTTATTTTTGATAGCTATAAATGTGAGCTAATCATGTTTAAGATATGAAAATCACTACGTGGCAGCCACCCACACAATCTGTTTGGAAAAAAATGAGAGGCGTTTACGACCAGTCACTGCAGGATTGAGAGACTCTCCTAAGCCAAAGCAGATGCTCGAAGAAAGCCGGCTTACTCCAGCATTGACGGGTCCACCTTTAGGCAACCAAACTCGTGATAGTTGCAGGCAACTGCGACAGTCAGGGTAAGACGACGATGAGGCATTACTCTGACGATACAAAATCATATCCTACCGAAGGTGCTGCAACAGCGTGGCCATAAATTTACGACCGCTTACCTCGAATGAGGCATTCGACTATTCGTACACTGCTCTTGCGCCTTGGCCAGTTACTGGTGCTAGGCTATTCATTCCTAGTTTAAGCCTTACGATACATGGCTCCGTCAAATTCTTCTTCCTCTTCTTCTTCTTTCATCTCGCGGTCTTTGTTACGACTTTATTTCCCAGCGCCTCCTTTTTGAAGCAGCAGGAACCGATTGCACAAACACTCGCCGCAGGGTTTGCCGTCAACAGCCATTGTCCTGACTCGCCATTGTGCTCCGTCTATTGTGTACTCAGAGGTGCTGCAAAGAGTTTGAGCCTCTACTCAAAAAATAGTTTGCTTCAGGCTATCATATGGAAGGATATTTGAGGTTACCTCGATCAGTAGACCGAAGGTCCAGGCATCACCCACATTATTTGGTTTATCGAAGTGACCTGCTTCATCAAGGCATGATCAGAAGAGAGAGGAGACGGTGGATAACGCGTAATGCAAGTTGGGTAATAACATGATTATACAATGCAATAATTCGTTAGTTTATATGCGATCGATTAATATCGATTTCTGAACAAAGTGGATTCAACTAAATTGACTGAATTTGTGTTTGCTGGCTGGACACCACAGCTCTTCTCCTTCGTCAAAGGATTTGGCAGCAAGGATTTTAATCGCGGGTTGTTGGTTTTGTGAAATTAAAATGTATCAATAAGGCCGACAGTGCAACCTTTTATTCCGTCAAGTTATTTGAAAGGTTGATCGTAGGGTTGGCAGTGGGCAGTGTCAGGAATAGGGGAATCGAGGGGCTTTTTTCTACTGAAAGGTGTACCGATGGCGTACTGTGGCTAAATGCGTGTTCAATGTTTGATGTGAAGAACAGGGAGTCGGGACAGGCAGATGGAGAGGGAACGAGCGACAAATCAGGCAGGTTGAGCTTAGTGATAGAGCCAAAAGTGAGCTAAGTAAATCGGATCAAAGCGTTTCGTGGGCCTTTGTACAAAGCCGCAGAATTTCATTCCCGTAGGCCTCCATCCCAAGTAGAATCCAGATTTGATTCGTTCAATGCTAGTTTCTGCATCTCGCTGTCATATATATGAATCACCGTAGGATAACGGTGCTATGTAAATCATCATCCCAAGATCACTCCACTACCAACCACACCCCGTCTCATCTGTCTAACCTTATCACGTCGCGGTCGCCATCGTCAAAGCCCCCGATGTGGTTAGAGGACCAAGCGACCTACACTGTAAAGGCCCGACCAGGAGAGAGAGGAAACCGCTGATAACACGTAGTTAAACTGATTTATTGATGCGGTATTGGCATGGTTATGCAAGGTATTACTTTGTCAGTTTATACAGGATCGATTACTATCGATCCCTGAACGAGCAGAGTTACGTGAAGTGCATTCAGATAAATCGATTGGACTGTGTTTGCTCTTTTCAAGTTGCTTGATCAATAGGTATTTCTAAGTAACTTTTTTTGCTAGGCTACGTTATAAAGAATTAAAAATTTGGATCAGTGTCTAGACTGTAACAAAAAATTATCAAGATGTTTTTTTGGATCGTGCTCCTGCCCTTGTGACAGTCGATTTTAAAGTGGTTACCAAAACCTCAAAGATGAACATCCACTTTGGCCATCTTCCGACACCAACACCTATTTTAACTGGATCCTCGTTTTTTTAACGGAACCGTTCTGTGCGGCCATTTCTTTCTTCTCAATTTAACAAAACAAGCCTTTCTCGAACCCATACAGGAAATATAAGCAGGAAACAGGGAACAGAAAAACTGGATCAGTGACAGTGAAGAATTGTCCCATTAGACGCAAGTGCAGTTATGAGTCCAGTGGCATTGAACAGGAAAACCTACTTATAAGCCTCCCCCACGTGGTCAACCAATCACTGCAACTCGTTCACCTCATTATTGAAATCCAATCAACCGGTGTAAAGTTGGACGGTCAAAAAGCGGCATCTTTCCACATGACAACGCTTAACCACACATCGGTCGATGTACACCGCACAACCCTTGAAAGTTAAAGAAGTTTTCAGCAAGTATATTCCACGGAAGTAGTCAAATCCTACTATCGAAATTCCAAGGAGATAAAAACCCGTTGTTTCCACAAAGAAGTAATCAAAGAAGTGCTGAAAAGCGTTTAAGGGTAATTATAAAAAGGAATTAAGAATACAAGCGAATCACAAACTTTTGCCCTTACCCGATGCCTGTAACAACTTTGAGACCGTTCGCGGAGGCATGGAATTATTTGTTGCTGAACTGCATTCTTAATAAAATTGAGCAGACTGGTTTATCGATTTGATCAGTATAACATCCTTAAATGTATTGTGAGACTAATTTTTACACGTGGAAGCAAGTTCGTAAGTACCTGGATACAGCAAAGAATTTATCAGAAGTTTGATAATACTTTTCAATATATATACCGTCGTGGATTTCAATTTTTTTTTTAAATTTTTGACTAGGACGTATATTCTTAACAGGTAACCTGATTTAGACTTAAATGAATCGCAAAATGTTGATGAATTAAAATGGGCTATTAAGCCAAAGTTCAATGTGGATTACCTTGCTGGTTACCCGTGTGTGTGAGGTCGACTTGAGCTCCGATTCGACTGGATTCTCAAGTTTCTTAAAACGTCACTTGGGCTTTTTTTACACAAACCTAAATATAGCTCCCATACACACGCTGTCAACGCCCATGTGCTCAAACAAACAAAATGGAAAACAACCTAGCGTTTACTTTGATCAACTGACCTTAAGCATTTTCACGAGGTGTGTTTGATGAGGCAGTGTGTAGCTAAATGATAATTTTTTTACTGTGTACCACAACTGTTGTGGATAGCTGCCCTTTCACATTCACTCTCATTATATAGGAAGCAGATTGGAACTGAATTAGGTAGCTGTCATTTGCTTCAGAAGGCCATCCACATTCATTTGGATGTTGCTACGTACTACTGTGGATTTTAATTCCCTTGCCAGACATTTATCCCAAGTAATAAACAAATTAGTACTTCTCGCTGATTTTATTTTCATTTCAACGATTCCCTTCCTTATTTGGACTAAAAGAAGGACAAGTAAGGTCGATAAAAGGGGTTTAAAAAGCCATTTTCATATTCGTGGTTAGATAAAGGTCCTACTATGGGATATTAAGAAACTTTCCATAGACAAGATCCGTACATGGTGACCGTGCAAATGTTCGATGACTAATCGATTCGATTTGATATTCAAACAAGGCTGGTGATCAATCATTCCAGGTCACGACCGGTAACATGCTCGGAATTTTGCGCGATTCAAATCAACGTTCCTTAGGTGATCGTTGCAAAAATGTCTGCTTTATTTAGGTTTTCAGTTAATTTCAAAAGAATAGCGAAGTATGTCCAGCACATTGGCCAGAAGGTTGGTGTAAATCTTACAATGGAAGGTGCCTTGCCATGAGTCAAATCTTGGAACACCTGCAAATAGCAGAAAGATTTGCCAGCCGCGCGGATCCTCAACGCCCCCCTCATTCACACGGCTATTTATCTTGGATTATCCTCACACCTAGGTGTAGATGTTAGTGCATGTATGACTCACACATCCGAGGTATGAATACACACGCGCAAACCCCACACACGACACAACGACACCAACGTGGTTGACCTCTGAAGAAAACGCTTGTGTCCACGTCCTCTCCGATCTTTTTCTTCATCACGGGTATCAGGGAAACGTAATAGGGCCAGGGTTAATTCCGTGGCCCCGGTGTGGTTCAAGACCACATGCCGGGGACCACAACAGCCTGCTCAGTAGATTTAGCCTGACGCATGGGAAAAGTAAATCGAACTTTCTAGGAATAGTTTACATCGTAGAGCCCGTGACAATTAGAACTGAGTTCCTTAGTTAATAAAACCAGACAGCTTTCTTAACATGAAAGATTCAAAGCAGAATAGTTTCTTCAAAAGGCTAGATCGCTTTTGGACGAATACAGATTTCATCCGTTCAATGCCAGTTTCTGCATCTTGCCGTCATTTATTGACCGCAATACTATAGTATCTTACCAATGAATACATTTCATCCAAGAGCAAGGCATTTGTAAATAAACTGACAATGGTTTTAAGGACTTTGAGTCGAGGTTGTGCTAACATAGGATTAAATGTAATGCAGAATTGTTAGTTGTCTCCTACTTTTGCGAAACTATTCTGCATCCGGTTAGCCTTGGTTGATCTGGCGTTGCACAACCTTGCCAACTTCACTTCTGAAAGGTGTCCACTGAACTCCAATTGGCTGCGTTGTGGTGCCAAGTTGCCTACAGTCCCTCGCGGAAGAGCTTTCGAAAACTGACTTGGTTGCTCTAGCATGCAGGCTAAATTAACAATATTTTAGATGTTTTAATTTAATTTCTACAGATTTTCTCTTCGGGCTTAAAATCATGTTTAAAATTGAAATATTTCAGGGTCTCATGTGGTGGTGAAATGATTGGACGCAAGGTGTCGGAACACCGAACGACTAGTCTACGACCCCTCACAATAGCAGAGTTTACGATGGCAACTGATAAACAGCCCATTTCCTAGGCACTGCCGCTTATGCGAATTTCACAAAGGAAAAATGCTTCTAAAGCACAGGGGATTAAGTTACAAGTTTTTCAATGCAGACTTCGTGTCTTATGAAAGGTTTAATTGCTGGTGGTTTCAATCTTAATGACCAGCCGCGCCTCGGACAACACCCTCGAATGTTCGAAGACGCGGAATTACAAGCTCTACTAGATGAAGACTCAAGGCAAAATCAACAAGAGCTTGCAGCTCAGTCAGGAGTCACCCCAGTAGCTATTTCCAAGCGTTTGGGCCAAATTGGAAAAATTCAACAACTTGGAATTTGGATACCTCCACATGTGCTGACCGAACGCAACCTCGGCCAACGTAGGAAAACATGCCTTTCAATGCTTGTCTGCTGGCAACAAAAAGGACTTCTCGTGGAAAATTGTGACTTCGGGTGATAAAATTTTTTGACGAGAATACCGAACGTGGAAGTTCGTGGGTAGATCCCGAGCAAGCAAGTACATCTACTTCGAAATAGAACACCTACCTGAAGAAGGTTCGCCTGTGTATCTGGGACGGCATTAGTGCAAACTCTTGGAAACTGGTCAGAGGGTGACTGCGGAAAGCTACAGTCGATAATTGAACAAACTGAGTGAGAAGACCCTCTAGAACTTGGAATGGAAGGTTACCCCACATGCGGCATATTCACCAGACTTGGCCCCCTCCCACAACCATTTATTCCAGTCAATACAGCAGCACGCCTAGGTGAATTAACAGTTTCGAACCCTGGATTATGCGCATAAATTCGTCTATGATGACTTTATCGCCTCGAAGTCTGCAAGTTTCTTTCGCCGCAGCATTTGTATGTTACTGGAGAGATGGCGCAGGGTCATGGAAGAGATGAACGATCTGTCCAAGCTCAACTTCGCTATTCTCTATTTTTTGTTTAATAAATTTGCTTAAAACGCCGTATAACGTAAGTCATATACTCAATATTTCTTTCGAATCTAAATGCAATTCAATGACGCCTACATGAGACTTGGGAACCCCCTTATTGACAGACTCAGATTATTCCGCCAGGCGGAAGACAAGATTGTAGGGGGCAGCTCGTTGCTAATTTTAGGTCCCTAATCTGCATCATATTTTTGGGGTAGATGTTTAAATTGCAAACCCTCGAGAGGGGACGCGGGGAGGGTTGACGCCCACTCGCGGTGGCCGCACCCATGTGGGCGGCCAGTCTTGAACTGGGGGGTGGGGGGTGGGGGCTTGAAGGGAGGCGAATACGGGGGGCGGTGGGGAGAGCGACCAACGCCCGAGGTACTTGCTCACCCACTCCGCTGTCTGAGGACTAAAAACCAGGGAAGCTTTTAAGCCTATAAAAACCCACCTCGAGAAACCTACGCTCGTCCTACCGCCTACCAATGCTGACCGCTGCCTCCTAGCAATTATCGTCATCATTTCCGTGGCCTAGGTGACTGGGGTGAGTTGTGCGTGTGTTCTAGGCATAACCAGTATGGATCTCATGCAATTTGCACTTGTACTCCATACTACTCGTCTGGGACGGTGACTAGGTACGCGAGAAATTTTTAACTGACATTTCGAGCATTTACAGTAAAGTGGGTGCAAATCCACCGCCGACTGTTTAATTTTTTGCAGTGTTTTCATGGTAGACATTTTAAACACGACCGGTTGCAATTTGTTTAGCTTAAAACCCGTTCCGTTTGCAGTTCCACGATTTATTTCATTGAGGCACAAACAGAAGCCCTTCGCTGGCACTATGTTTAGAATAACCAAATTTCGGCCTAGGCAGGATACGGCCGTTTTATTCGTAAAGGAAATCTGAGGTAACTGGATGAAATTCCTTAGGTATAAATTTTGCAAGAGCCTATGGACTATTGCAGAAATCAAATCAACAGGTTTCATTATCCATCAAATACAAGATATCACGTAGTCAATTTGATCTAATCTACCAAAATGACACGGTCAATAATCCACCGAACTGGGATCTTATTACTTGAGTCACACCCACAATCTTGCTAGGGGTTTTCTATTAATCGAAATGGGACTACACTGACGTCCTCGTATTTTTCCCGATTTTTCACGCGTCACAGACTGTCCAATTCAACTTTGTTTACGGAAACCTTAGAAACCGTAATCAAATAAGCATCAGTCAACAGAACTGATGCGATTTCATTTCCCCCTCCCCCCTAGTGTCATTCTTTAGGCGGTCCAGTAAGTCACGTGACCATCGAGACCATAAGTGACTTTTTTTAGAAACTGATGACGACTTTTGCTTTGAGCGCACAAGGCAGTTGCTTATTTCCCTTTCAAGAAACCGCAAGCTATTTAAAAACTACTACTAAAACAACTACTTCCATGCGTGACCCATTGGCTTCAAAACGTGGTAAACGGTTAATTAAATTGACCTGAGTTCTATAATTATGCCATAATCTAAACCGAATTGATTGTAGACATCGGTTGTGCATTGGAATGTTCTACAGATAAACTCCATGCTGTCATAGGCTCACTTTTCTTATATTTGGAATGATAGTAAGTTCATTTGTTCAGAGTATCTTTAATGGTTGTTTAATTGTGGCTGACTCATTAAAAGAGGTTGAAGAAAAACTCAAGATTATTTGCCAAAAGTTCTGCCATTTAGTCACACCAAATCTGCGTATGACCAATGTGCTGTGTTAACCAGGCCTAGCCTAGATTGAGTTGTCTTTCCATCTTTTCAAACAGGTTGTAAATGGGAACGTGTTACTCTCTGAGTCCCCAATCTATTACCCCTGTGCATCTTGGCAACATCATCATACACCAGCAGCAGGAACAGCTGCAAGATCAACCCCACAGAAACGACCGCCAGCCCCAGCTTGAGGAAGCGTGTGGTCGACAGTCCAGCACCAAGTGCAGCGGAGACAGCGGCTTCAAGTCCAGTGGCAGCCCAACTGAACCGCCTCAGTCCGTGCACGGGTTTCTTGAAGACATCTTTCTGGACGACAGGACGGTATGCACCGAGCACGATAACCAACGGGCAGACAACTATCTTCCGAGTCGAATGGACCTACACCCCACGTCTTTGAGAGAAGAGGTCAGCAGGTTTGGTACGTTCAACAACGCTACACAACTGAATGGTATGTCTTGTTTTAAGAGGCGTAAGTTCAAGGTTGGTCCGACTTTGGTGAAACTAGGAAAGAGAAATAACGGGAAACTAGAGGTAGCCAAATTGACGCCCTAGTATTTGGCTAAATTAAACAGATAAACCATCGTCCGACGATGTAATTTTTAGACACTAAGTACGTAACTCGTGTGTAGTGTGGAGCGGAAGTGGAGGTGAAGGCATGCGACAGACTAAGCAAAAATTTTTCATATTGGCAGTTGGTGTCGTTCGAATGGTCTTGCGCCACGGCTTGATATGTTTGGTCCCCGTTAATAGCACTCTCTATTAACGTTGCATAATAGTTTACCAAGATGTGGTATATTTAGTGATAGACTTATACGCATAAGACAGGAGATGGTCACACCCCGTTAAGATCGTCACCTCTAATTGCAACCTGCAGAGTTGCATCTTACCAGTTTGTACCCAATATTTATTAACAATTAGCATTAACAAAATTAACTTGTTATAGACACGTTAATTTTTGGGGATTTGTCTAAGTGTAGCGTAAAGCAAGTGATCACTCCATGAATTGTATGTGGGCAGTCTCAATGAACACGTTGCTAGTTTGTTGGTGATGCAGCACAAAAAGAAAATATCTTACTTCTGACCTATTAATATGATAATAGGATCCAGACGAACAAAAATGCAGTCATATTAATTGCATGAAATAAACGGTCAAATTTGTGTCAAGTGGCAGTTTGCCAAGCGCCCACAACTGTTCTGGTTTTCTTTGGATAAATCTGCTTCCGCAGAGTCGTGGTTTTGCAGCATCATCCTAAATTTCACTGAAATTCAGACGGTCTAACTTAACAGTTCGTAGGCAGTAGATTATTCGCAGCCGAACACAGAACAGCAAACCCCAAAGTCGAGAGTGACGGCATTCATTTGTTATTACACTTCCATCCCGTGACAGTAAGTGAAATCGCGAGGAACGACTAAGGCTGACTTTTCGCATTGGTAGATGAGGCACCTGGTGAGGAAGCTGAACCCCTGCGGGAGCGGTCCTGCTACAGTGAGTTTCCCAGTCTTTCGAATTCTACCGTTGCGGTCTACGCAAAACGCCGAGTCTCAACCAAGGGGCTTCCTAGGCCTGGCTCAACTGATTCCACCTTTGCTTGTGTCCTCAGGTCCGTATCTTAATCCATAACATGATTCATTACTCAACCAAGGGCACAATCTTACGCACTTTCAGACTATGTATTTTTCAAGATCGTATAACCATGTAAAAGGGATTTTGACGAGAGTTTAATCAATTTGATAAGGATGGTTCAAGATTAAAATGTTTAACAGCTTTACAGATCTAGAATTTACTATTTTCGTGATCAAAGAATTAGGTTAATGCTACTATTTTTAAAATGCTACAAAGTTTGACCGGTTTTTCGTAATGTGGGCGAAGACTTTTTTTAAAGCTATGGGGAAGTTAAAATAGACCGTATTGATTCTACATCTGAATGTTGCTGTTATTAGGTTTTGTTTTCAAAATATTGCTCAAGTGTGCACTGCAAACGGATGAAATAAACCCAGATGTTGTGCGTAGTTATGTCAAAAGCAAAAATGGGCGTCACCCTTAGCAAGAAGTTCGACTACAGTTGAACTAAAAGCTGTAATTACAAAGGAAAAACTTCCATGTCATAGAAAACGGACTAAATATGCGAAAAGAGATGAGAATTTAGAATTTCGCTAAATCTAGATGATTACATTTTCACTGGTGCGATTATTCTGACTTCACGTGAAATAGGTAAGACGGATTCTTTTGCCGACCCAGTTGTACCTTCAAAGATTATTTTAATAATTAAAAGCCAGGCTCATAATCTCAACTTTTTTGCAAATGAATTAGTATGAGCCAGTTTCAATCTTAAAGAGCATTTAGAGCAAAATCATGATTTTCTGAATTGGTCTGAACATAGGAAAAAGGAAAAAAATATGTGCGAATCAACATTGTCTCCTTTTATTATGGCTTAGGTGGTTAGGCAATGTAAGCAGTACGATCTGTATTGCCTTAATATCATTCCTGGAGTTTGATTATGCTTTAATTTTGATAACATTTTTCTGAACTGGGGCAAAGGTTTATGCGCTACGTTGTAAACTGAGTTTATTGTGGTAATGGTGTGAGGCAGACTGCCAGATTTTCAATGGGCTACGATGAACCCAAAAACTGACAATGTAGAGGTCTGGATTGGCGCACTTTCGGGGCTTGTCTTTGGTGTTAGTCAAAATCCATAGAGACTTAGCTAACCAACTTGATTTGGCTATTTGAACTCTAACAAATGTGTGCTCAATTTACTAAGTAGATGCCTGTCGGTGTCTTAAGAATCCAACTATTGTCAAATTAGTTGGTCAAAGTCTGGTGGAAATTCAGTAATATATGAATAAGGTATGACTAGGGTCAGAGCAAAGATACTAATTTTTGCCTGGCTTGTTTATTATACTATTTTGAATAAATTACGTGCCATTCTGTGCAACAGTAGATGCGTTAGCATTCCTGTAGCCAATGTTGCGACGAACTCTACGAAATATCTGAGGGTTGCTTAAGCGATTTTGACAGATTAAGGCGTACACAAATTGCCCCTCGTACTTCCACTATAATGTATTGTCTTTTTTGCTTTTACAGACTCCGCAAAATTCTTCAATTAACAGAGGAGAACAGAATCACCAAGCGTGTTTTACTCGAGAACCTCAATTATGCTCTCGACGTTGTTACGAAAACGTACATTGAAGAAACGAAGTAAGCCAGTCAAACCCACTTTCCAGTGAATGCCAAGCGTCCACTTAACATACGGATGTCAACGCTTTCAGATGACCACAACCCACTGAGAAGAATAGTAGTAAAGAAACAGATTTATTATGCAGCTGTTAGTTTGGTTGGCGTAAAATCATACTTACCCAATTATCGTTAGTTGCAATAACAGGAAACGTCATGAACATTTGGACGTTTGGAACGGTTAATTATAAATAACTAGCAGAGCGATGTCCTTTATTCGTCGAAATGTCGCAGTATGCTGGAAGATGACGCATTTGTAATGTACCACTCATTGCTTAGTACTTGCAAAAGTCCATCTGTAGTTAATCTTACTTTTAGCTAGTGATGCGGTTTAATGCATTGAGGACTATGGTTGGCACCAACCCTAATTTACTATTCTAAATTGTGATATTTTGGGGTCAGGCGTTACTGGTGGGGTCGTAATAATCAAAACAGACGTTTTTATTCTAGACGCCTGCGCGACGAGGACGATGAGCTCTCGGAGACCGCCTGCTCCGAGGTGCCCGACGAGGTTCGCGATTGGCTGGCCACTACATTCACGCGGCACCAGTCCAATGGCGGTCGACCCATCACAAAACCGCGATTCCGCTCAGTCGTTAACGCGATTCGCGCCGGTATTGTGGTGGAGAGGTGGGAATTCCTAGCTCTGCTTTAAACCAGTCCTAATCATTCAACGATTCTGCACCATTTTTTTGCAAATCTCGTGCGGGTACTCATGGTGTCCAGTGAACCAAACTTGAGTTTAGTAAATGGAAGGATGACCCTGGAGTAGATTGGTTGAATAATCCCCTGTTTCGAACCTCTTTCTAATTCCAACTGGTAGCACGGACCCAAAAACACTGCTTCAATGCGTGAGACCTGCGGCCTAGCCATGACCAATCAAAGTATTCTAAGTGGTCCTAAGAACATTTTGAGGTCCCATACCACCGACGTGGGTGGTTGTAAACGCGTATCTAGTGGATAGTATTTATCACCATGTAACCTACTTGTTGCAAGGCAGAGACGCCTACAGTTTGGACTCAACCAGGTTTGGCTAAACACAGACGACGTGAACGAGGAATGCAAATTGGATTGTTAGTGGAATGCGTTCTGAAGATAAGCGTGAATTTACTAAGTGTGGGCCTGGGTCTTTCTTTACTGTTTTTTTAGAATTTATCGTAGGATGTCAAGCTGTACATGCCTCACACTCCCTCCAAATGTGGTTCTTCTTCTCAAGGTAAGCATTCAAAACCACATTCAACATACACATGGGATGGAATGATATCAGGTTCCCGAACACTGCCAGTTTGAATCGGTAGTTGTTCCTAGTGTCGCAAAATGCCTGAACAATGGGAACTCTGGGTTTTATTAGCTTGACTCAAGACAGCGATGTTTTGCAGTGACAAACGAGGGTCGATTGAAAGCCTGCCAGTCGTCCCCGCAACAGCAGCCTTAGTTTGGGATAGCCAAGTTGAAATCCAAGCAAAACTGTAGATAATTCACAAAGTAATCGTTTTTGGTTTTTAAATACAAAAATATTTGACAACTAATTTAATTGTTCCATGGGAGTAGACTCGGCAAAAGCCAAGGTCTTCCCAAACTCTCAGACACCACTTCATGAAATCAAGCGCAAATACCTGCCTCTTTTGTCTCCCTAGACACAATTCAATTACATTAAACGAGAATCCGGTGTGTGGGATGCATAATATGAAGGTTGAGCAGGTGTTTCATGATGATTGGTTAGATTTTTTGCCATAATATTAGCTTAATGTATCCTAATAAGCCATAACCGCGATATTTGCTACATTATTTCAACAGAGATTCTGCCTGATTTTCATAAATGGCACAACCATGAACTGCCATAACTCTGCTAACGTTTTCTTCACAACCACATTACCCAAGAAAAGTGCAATTTCTTTTCATATAGGAGCTGCATGGATACTCAAAATGAAAAATAAGGGGTCTTTTTATCAGGACATGTTAAAAGAGTTTAAGAAGAAGTTACTGTTAAAACAGCTGCAAAAAAATTAAGACGTTTACTTAGATAATGCTCCTGCTCAATTTCAATTTATTCATCTCAATTCGGATATTAAACGTCCTTCCGACATTAATATCTAATTTGTTCAAAGATTTACCATATAATAACCCGTGAGTTACCCCTAAAAATATTGCATTGAATCAAAATATCGGTGATTTGACCGCATTTCGCCACGTAATGAAACTTGGACACGTTACGAAATTCGATACAGTGGGTTCTCGTATTTCGGCAGAACGGAACAAACTAGGAATGATGGAAAAATGTTTGTAGAAAGTCTAGCAAACCGTGCAAACTTGGTCAGTCAAAAGGCAACATCTTTCACCCTAGCAATACATGACTACCTATCGCTCAATGGACACGTTAACACCTTAAAAGGTCAAACTGCAAGTCCTTCAGCATTTGCTGCATTCCCCTGACTTTGCCCCTTCACAAATCACATCTATTTAGTTTTTGGGTAAGATAAGGCCGCAAACTCTGCAAAAATTTGTAAGGCGTTTAGAGACATTTGTATAATATAATAGAGAATGTATTAATGATTAAGGATACCATTTTTTGTAACTATACTGCATTAAATTCGGTTGAAAATTGAGCTCAACCTTTTCCATTTACCCAATAATCTGAAAAAATATTAATTATTTTGACCTCCAACATTGCCTAATAACTAGGAGTCGGTTTCGTGTGAACAAAACATTATCTAAGAAGCGAAATTAACTGTTCACATAATTGAGTGCTATAAGTGATTTCAGTAACACGATGATCCACATTTCACGATCATTAATACGTGCTCACATCTTGTCTATATTTTGACACATTTTTCAAATGTGGAGTACGAAAGTTTGAAATAATATCCCAAAACCTGAAATGAAATCTCAAAATCGTGTTATGGTACAATCAGTTTCGAATAGCCGTTTTTAAATCGCTAACGGCAGTCATGCTGTAGCATAATTGGACAGTTTGAACTCACACACAATCAGGCGTGTGAGGGAGCTGTTATTCTCCAACTGACCCGCCATTATCACCGGTCAGGGCCAATTCACGGATCCACTTGTCTTGCTAAGATTGTGTACCTTTTAGCTAAAATTGGACACTTAGGCAATTGGACCTGACCTTGCGTTGACCGCAGATGGACAATTAGTAGGCGTCTTAATTGATGTGGACGATTGTGGGAACCCTATTATAACGTATTTCATCAGTATTGGGAAATTTGATTTGAGGCAAAGCGGTCTGAAGTATTGACAGAACTAAAGTTGTCCGATTTCCAACTGTAATGTATTTGTGGTGGCTACACTAACGTCCGTCAGTAAAGACGATGAGAAGTCAGAAAAGTATCTATAATTATCCCAAGTAATATTTTTTAACAGGAAAATCACTTCTCTAAATCTATTAAAAGTAAGCTATAAGCAAAAACAGAAGTAGCAATGCTCTATTCTCCATTGGCTGTCACTCGATGGCCGTCATTAGACTGCTTCATGATGCCATCGAATGATTCTGGCGGGGAGCCACAGCTCAAAATTTTCTCGTCAACTATCGCCATTTTTTACTTATCATTAACTACAACTTGGAGGCAATTAGTGAGATCGTAGTTTAGTGAAATTCATTCATCGAACATTGCCAATTTCTCTGAAAGCTGATGTCCCCGATGCATAATTGCTTATGAAAACTGTGGACAAG